CTCGGTTTGCAAACTCCGCCTCGGGGTACGAACAGGATACGCGGCCATTTTCCCTCCCGTGACACAGTCCGCGGCAATTTTTCCACCCCTGACACGTGGTCCACGGCCGTTTTTCCGCCCCTGACACATGGTCTGCGGCCATTTTCCGCCCCTGACACGTTGTAGGGAGGGGGACTCTCCCTCCAAGCAATAGCCACCTCCCTGTCCTCCACCCCAGAATGGATTAACGGTAATTACGTTGAACCTTATGGGGAAATTTCCTTCAGGTTGCGACCAATTCGGGGTGCGACCAGAGTCACGGAATGAATTAAGTTCGTAAACCGAGGTTCCACTGTATATATTTGTGTACCTGGTATCTGTTGCCAACTCCATAACCTAAAAAAAGGCTTTTCCTGAAATTATGCACTGTTAAAGAGTTGCCAATGAGTGCTCTGAATCTTCCAAAGCACCTTCTCCCCTTCTGATCCAACACTGCACAGCCCTATTCATTTGTACTCCATGCTATCTGATTGCAATGCACCTTTATGTAATTAAAAAAAAAACTTAGAAATGGATGAATAAGAAATCTTTAGGAAAATACTGATATTTAGATGCCAAGAGAAATATGCAACATTTTGAATTCTAACATTTTAAGGTACTCTTTTGTTTTCTAATGAAGGTACTTTTCTGGAATTTACCTATGACTGAAGTGTTAATATTGTCATTTCTTTCCATTTAGATTGTCTTGCAGAGCCATAGCACAAGAGTAACAGCTAAATCCCAGTCAAGTGGAGATAAGGCTTTTCGTTGTGACTATGATGGCTGTGGAAAATTGTACACTACTGCTCATCACCTTAAGGTTATTGTTGAAAAGCTATCCAAGCCTTTCAATTGTTATTTGCAATAAGATATTGATCAGAAAATGATATAAATGTAGCCAACATCACTATCAGATGATAGTTTTACAGAGTCACTTCATATATTTTAATATTTCTATGTCTGTACTGTGCTTAGTTATAATAAAACTAGTAGTATTATTAACATCGGTTTCATTTTCTAGCTGCTATGGAGAATAGATTACAGTTCAAGTAGAAAAATGTTAATTAGCTGATGTGTTTCTCATTGATTGATACTTTATTATGCATTAGGGCTAAAGTGAACATTTTGATATAAGAATTCTTTGAAAATGATAAAAACATTTGACTATCCTGCTTTGAGGGCTTTTTGGCTGGGTCAGGCCATCTGAAGTGTTTTGACAGTTTAGATGAATGATGAAGCTCTGCTCCTGTGCTTACCAACATTCCTTTCAAAGGTCTTTCTATACCTCATGTATATAGTCGGTGCAAAGGATAGTAAAATATTTAAATATTACTTGGGAAAGTCATATTACAAATTATGTGATTTCTGTCTTTCAACAGGTTCATGAAAGGTCACACACAGGAGATCGGCCATATCAGTGTGATCATCCAGGTTGTGGAAAAGCATTTGCAACAGGTAAGGGGTTAAGATTCTTTTTAAACAGTAATTTTAATTAAATATTTATAAATAATACAAGCCTACTACTTTAGTGGTGTGAAAGAAACATGCAAGTCATTGAAATGTATAGGAATATCAAGAGAGATGGAGTAAAAGATTTTAAAACATTCATACAATCTTTCTCTTTTTTATTTTCTTTATTTTCTTTTTTTTTAAATAAGTGGTTTAACAAAAAATATCATAACAAACCATTTCAATTTTATGTATACTTATATAATACAAATATTATTCAAATACATATATATTTCTAATAGATTTATATGCCTATCATGTGTTGTTTTTTTTACCTACTGTATTTTGTATAAATGAGTCCCATCTTTCATTATACTTGTCCATTAAAAGTCTACGTCTATAGGCAATCTGCTCATAAGTGACAAGCACAATCAGGTCTTCAATCTATTGAATAAATGAGGCCATACATTTATCTTTCTAATGCTGCAATATCAGTCTTTTAGCCATAGTAAGGGCACAGAGAATCCATTTATGTTATCCAGATGTCAAATTCCATGTACTAGGTATA